ATCCATTTCCTAACTGCCTGCTTTGAAGATTCACTTGGGTTGATCATTCTTCCTACTGTTTGCATAATGGCTTTCTAAAGTGCATTAGGGACCTTAAACCTACATTCACATCTCTCTGTGTTAATGAGACTGTGTAGCTAAGATGATTTTTGCTTGGCTGTTTTAATATAAAGGCCATGTACTGAATTCCTTCAATCCCTTTTGCAGTTAGATAATCTAGAGGCTATTAGAATAGGCAGTAGTGTTAGATGGACTCAGGTGAATGCAAAGGTGAAATGTCATCTTGTCATTCCTTTCTTGAAGACACTGTTGTCTAGGTGCAAGAAAAAACTCGATTTACTTTATGTATTCATTTTTTTGTTCCTATTGTTTTTAATCATACTCAAAATAAACATCATTGTGCTTATAAACCCCTGTAAGGCCATGCAAGTATGATCTCCCTTTCCTATCCTTATCACCAACTTCTGCTACCTACCTACGGCCTCTTTGGTGTTCTTTAAACACACTTCACTTGTGCCCACCTCTTGGCCTTTGCACTTGCTGTTCCCTTGCCTGGAACATTCTTCTCCCTTCTATATGCCTGGCTCCCTGCCTGACCTCTCTCCATCCACTTTATCACTGAGGCCTTTCCTGATGCCCTAATTTAAAATACTACCACATCTACTTCTCTTGCCCCATCCCCTCTCTGCTCTAGCACTCACCACTTGACACAACTTTATATTTTACTTTTTTGTTTACTGTTCTTCTCTGCTCACTAGAATATGAAGTCCAGGGTGCCATGCATTTTTGTTTATTTTGTTCACTGCTGTGTCTCAGTACACCTAGAACATTACCTGACACTCAATGGGCATAGAAAACTCTTAAGTGGATGAGTTAGTGAATGAACTCAAAAGGATTCACTGAGCAGTTACTATGTGCCTGGCACATGGCATAAAATACAGAAATTTAAAATGAAAAAGAAGACATAACCAGACAATTACAGTGCTGTTGGTAAATTCTGTGAAAGAAGTGCTGTCACTTCTAGCCCCAAGGACAAGGACACTGAGCTCTGATTAAACAATCACTGGAGGGGAAAGGACCAACAAGAAAAAGCCTACTATAGAGACAACCAGCCAGAGGTACAAAGGTGTCAAGATGTGGAAGCATGGCTTCTGTGTTGGGCTACAATTATTACGAAGCATGGCCTTTTCTCAGAAGCTATGGAAGCAGTAAAGGATTTTTCAGTAGAGGAAAGGTATGGATCTATTAGTCTTTTAGAAAATTCACAGCAGACTGAAGAGTGGCCCTGAGGAGATTTCTCACATTAGCTGAGAGAGAAGAGGCTGGAAGAAGAGTGTGGCACCACGGCAGGGGGACTGGACTGAGTGAGTGGTGGGCTTGAGAAGGAGGAGTGAGGATCACTCACTCTCAGGACTGAGCAGCAAGCCTTTCATAAAGGCAATCGCCAAATGGGACTATCGTATTTCTTTAACTTACTTGCTCATCATATTCTACATAATATTTTACATTATCTTTAGAAATGAAATCTAGCAGAAGTCAGTCAAAGGCAAGGAAAATTGACTTCACTGTGTGATTTCTTACTTGTCTATAAGTTTTAACTTTGCATAGTTCTCCATGGTCTTTTCCAAAGCATCATGAAAATTTGGTGTAAAAGTTTATTCACAGATAAGTGATGTTGTTACTCCACACTTAAGATTTTTCTGTGACTCATTTGGTTTTTATCTTTTGAATAAAGTTATGTCTATTTTGCAGGAACTTTCAATTTAAAAAGCTCATACATTTTTATATCACCCAGAACCTGTATTGAAACGAGTGTATTTTAAGGTTCAAATTATAGTTAACACTTCCGGAGTTAAACTTAAAGAAACACAGCTTAATATGTTGAGGTTCTAAATGTTGTACACTTTTTAATCTTGAGACATAGAAACAATTTGAAATATAAAAGAAACCAAATTTTTCCCATCTTAATTGGTGGAATACAAAATATATGCAAATATAAAGATGCCTGCCAAGAAAATGTCTAAGAAAGGAACAATTCATTAATAAAAATGGACTGAAAAGACTGACTCTGGTTTGGAAAACTATTTGTCCCTAACTTTTTAAGTCATGGGGATAACAATAACGGAATTACTTGAGAAATCTTGGAACACTAGAACAATTAACTTTAATTTCAGTAATAATAAGAAGCCCTGGTTTGACTAGTGAATAATGAACTTACGGCATTCTTTATCCAAGTTATTATTCACGATTTGAGCAAGCTGAAAATATAAATAAGCTTAAGAAAAATTAAATAAGTTAGTGAACAGTTCTATGGCATTTCCCCATTACTTCATAAATTTATATTTGTATTAGAAACCACAAGACTAATCAAATGTAGACATCTTAATTAACCAGTAGCAATATACCTTAACTTCAAAACCAAGTTTGGAATGGTGAAGCCTTCATTTGTAAGCTGAAATTTAATGGCCGCAATGTCACAGATATGTAATAGGATAATTAATCTAAGGCTATGCAAAACACATACATACAAGCAAAATCTTGATTAGTAAAATAACCATTGTGTGTGGGTGTCGAGTATGTGTGTGTGTCTGTACTTACTTGAATGTATATCTGTATTTTATAGTCAACTGCTTTATTCTCAGTCCCCTCCTAGTAATGGATGACATTATCCTTGGCTTGCTACCATTTTTCCTGCCAGTGAGATCAAAGGAATATATGCACATTTTTTGGCAGCTGAGAATATATCCTTGGCAACATAGTTATGAATGATCCATAAGACATATATTCACAATTCAGATTCATGTTACATCCTAAATTTTTGGAGTTTAGCAAAAAAAACCAAAGCAGTTTCCCAACAATTAAGAAAAGTACTATATTTTCTTTATAGTTATCCTTTGACTTTCATTATATATTGTTAAAATATACAATTAATGTGATTTTATAGATTTCAGAGTTTGAATTAGTCTTTTTCTCTGATTTAATGTGGTCATACATGAGGGACCAAGTTAGAAAATATCAGATATGTTAGTCTATAGGTAAAATAGTTGATTTAAATTTGTTCTTATTTTTGTATGGAGTAGATTACCTTCTAGAATTATATACATCAGTGAAATGAGCTATCCAATTTTAGTCAACAGTGTTTTTCCAAGTGGCAAATTTAGGCTTATAATGGGAAACAAAAGCTTTTTGAATTGAGCATATATGCATTCTCAGTCTAAACACTGAATTAATGTGCTTTTTGTTATATGATATCCTTTCTAACATCAATATTTTAAGAAGTGAAAAGTTTGGAAAAGTAGGGTCACAGAGGTTGTAAAACCCATCTTTTCTTCACACTCAGATCTCCTATCACTACAACTTCCAAATTCTGCCTCTACTTAGCATTAACATTCCCCCAAAAAAACAGTTTACCCAAGTGAGGAAATGATTAAACATGTTTATGTGCTAAGGGAAAGAAACTAGTGGAAAATGGGCACTCTGATACAAATGCAGGGAAAATTGATGGAAAGAGCTCCCTGAGGACAGAGGCAGGGATGGATTCCAGCGTCTACTGGTTGTATTCACCCCGCAGAGACGACTGCTTCTCCTTCCTCTGATATTGGACGAGGTCCACATGGGTTTAAATTGGTGAGAGACATGATATTGAGGGAGTTTACACCTGAGAGCCTCTATTTGCTCTGCAAAATCTAAAACAGAATTTTAAATAGGAGCAAGATGGGTAGGGATAATGTGTGATCACACAGAGATGGCAGATAACTAGTAAATTAAGAAGTTGGTTATCTGAGTAAATCAAGAAAGAAATACAGGAAGGTGATATTGCACAGTGCACTTTCAGTAACCTAAAGCTGATTATATGAGGAAATTGTTAGTCTTCCTGTGAGGATTACAAAATGATTTCTGAGGAACAGATTCTCTTAAAGTTCCCAAACATTGTGTATTTTTAATTTAAAAAATCATGCATAACCAATTGTTCCTCTAATGACCACTCTAGTGCTTTATTTAAAGTTACAGAGTATGAATATAAAATGTTGATTAAGCGAAGTGTTGCAAATTGAAAATAAGCTAGCTGTAAGTGTAATGGGCTAAAAAGCTTTCAAATGAAATGATACAGTATAACTTTGTTAAAATACTTTGAAAGGAATTGGAAAAAAAAGTGCCTAATATTTTCATTTAAAAATAGACGTGAATAGTAAGAATGATGGCTGTATCTCTCTGTGTCCTTTTCCACCACCCCAAAGCTGTGCCTTGTTCTAGATAAGGCCAGCAGAATACCAACACTGCCTTTATGGTTGAAAAATGCTTAATCTCAAAACTGCCACATTTCTATTTTATAGTAAATATTCCCATTCATCTTCCTAAAAATTACATTACCCTCTCAGCCTCCTCTGCCAGTACAACAGTTTATGCAACAGCTGACAGCATCTTTTGTTCTGCTTTCTGGCACACACTAGGTGCCTCATTGACCTGAGCATCCCATAATTTGTAAACAAGTTTTCATGCAGGTCAATTGGCAACATTTCATAAGAGCAAGAATAGAACAAAATATGTCTTTTGTACTGCTGTTCAGTTAATGCCTTTGCAAATCTGCTTACTGAGGTTTTGCCGATGCAGAAGTCATGTGATGTGTCAATTTGGTGGGAAACTGTATTGCTTTTTAACTGCTGCTCACAGCAGCATCTCAGGCCCTCTAAATGAGATTGATGGGATAGCTTTGTAGGTATTTGAAGAAACAGATGTGCTGAAATGGCAAAGATCCTTTTTTTTTTTTTGAGGAGATATCAGAATCCTACTGCATATGCTGAATATTTGTCAACAGAGAACAAGAAAGAAGAAAAGACCTATTGTGCATTTGCAACCACAGATCTTCATTTTTCCTGATGTATAAAACATCAGCCTATTTCAGTATAGCAAAGAGAACCCCACAGAATAAGGACAGTTTTAATTGGTCATTTAAATGGTTATAGTATTGTGTTAATTGAATTGTTTTTCTTTTTTTTTAGGGTCCTCTGGGGCCTCCAGGACAAAAGGTAGCGTATAAACAATACTGTGGGAGTAATTATACTCTCATTGCCTAATGGCTAGCATGAGACGTGAATGGAATTAGCTACTGTAAGCCCGTGCTGAGGCAGTCTGGTTTGTGCATTCTGCTTTCTAAAAATACCATCATTTATTGTGAACCATTACATTTCTAATCGGCTCCATTACAGAAAATTCAGTAAATCCGGAGCAGACTCTTTTCAAGCTGTCTGCCAAACATGAAGGTTATTGAATTTTTAATTCAAACTCTGGTAGAACATTTGACAGAACTTAGAATGTGATGGGTCATACTACATGGCCAGCTAAATGCATGGCCTTGTCAAACATATGATCACCAAACAACCCACAGAACTGGCCAGAACAAAAGATGTGCTTGTTGCTTGATGGCCTCGTTCACGTGGCCCACTGATGTCCTCCTTTGTGGAGGTAACCTGAAAAGTGACTTCCTGCTAGTCATTTCAACATCATCCACAGTCATCAGAACTGACCATTACATTCTGATGGAAAGGGTCTAGCACTTCTAACATTACAGCAATACTAAAGTAGTAAATACATCAATACTAATACTACAGCAGTAAATATATCACTAACAGGTAAATGGCTGCTAGCCAACAAAATATCACTGAGTCCCCATTCCCTGTTCCACCTCCCACCCCACAAGGGGGAAAAGAAGATTATTTAACCTGCAGAAAACTAAAGAAAACAATTGTATTACAACAGGTGGAAAAGTGATTATTCTTTATCTTTGGAATCTATCAAAGATAGACTTTTTATCCTCCAAGCACTGGGCATATGGCATCTGTTGAAACATAATCCTACAAACCAACTAAAAGCCAATGAGTTGTGAGACAACTTGTGTATAGGAACACTTTGTCCTTCGCAATAATGTCTCTATTAAGCATGGTGTGAAATTGTAAAGCTACCCTAATCCACATGCCACCAGGATAAAATTACTGCCTCAGGCTTCGGAAAGTCATTTAATGACCTGCCCCATATAATTACCTAAAGCACTGAGGGATTTGCTGTCTCAATTTGTGTTGCATATAGTGACTATATTTTTGATACACTAAATTTTTGTAGAGAAGTTTTAGGTGTACAGTTACTCTTTTAAAAAAAGTTTCCCATTATTATTAAAGAAATTTAAAAGCATACATCTCCTAAGAAAAGTCTGTTTTCTAGAGCTAGACAAAGAATAAGCATATTTCACTTAAAAATGGTTTCTCCAGAGCCCAAAGGGGAGGTGTGAGGAGGGAAATGACATACTATTTGAAAACATTTGTTAATGTTTCTATATCCTGTTGAATGTCATAGATTTTCTCAGGTAATAATTAATTTTTTATTCTCCACTGATCCTACCTACATTCAACCATTCATAATCACTCCAGCACGCATGTGTGCTCATGTCCAAGTGCATGTGCGTGCACACACCCACCCACACACACACACACACTTAATATTTATGCACAGTTGTGTTCTAGTTGGTGTTTAACATTTGTAACAGCTATATGCAGTGTGCTTTGAAAGACATTCACACTCACGTGGCTTAAATGTACTCCCTGAAAAACCAGGAAAAAATCCTTCAAATATAACAAATTTGAGTTTACATCATGGTTCCTATATTTGACTTGTGGAACAAATGGTTGTCATTTTAGTTACCTTTTGTTGCATGATATTTAAACTCATGAAGTTCAAGAGTTCCTCCTACTACTGTTTTTTCCAGGTGGAGCTAAGCCTATTTATTTCTTAAAACACTTCAGTTTAGAGCCATGTAGCCCTTTGATAGATATACATCTCAATTTATAATGTGAATTGATTTATAATTATGTTGTGATTAAGTGGATATTTAGAAACATAGTTACATAATTTCTGGGAAAGCTTGATGAACCTGCTTACATTATTGTACATTTGAACACAGTGGAAAAGATTTGAAAACACAGTCTCCCATCATGGTTTAGCAAGGTAAAGTTATGGCCAATGTAATTAATATAATACAAATTTAGAAATGAAATATTCTATGATTATGATACCAACTTCATTTAATCATGTGTCTCCTTAGGGTTCTGTTGGAGCACCTGGAATTCCAGGGGTAAATGGGCAAAAGGTGAGTTCTACAGAATACAGTATTTTTGATCATTTGGAGAGGATTAAAATTACAGTTATTCTAGTCAGTAATGTTAGTACAAAACAGTACATATACTATTGAAATATAGGGAAACTGTGGAGTAAATAATCAAATTAGTTTAATTTTTAAAGCTGCATTAAATCATTAGGAACTCAGAAATTTTCCTATTTTATTTTGATAAGTTATGTAATGAAATACATACTGTATCTTTCTCATACATATATACAGGGTAGGGAAAAAGCTATATTTAATATGAATTGTGATTAACAAAATGCACTCTATTCTCAACATGTCAAAAGTAATATGTATTATTTCTTTGGTTAACAAAATTTATTCTTACAGAGGGAATCTCCTGAATTTAGCAACCATTTTGCTTTTTACTGTCAAGCAAAAAATGGGATTTAACTAGACTTGCCAAGCTCTGGTAGTACACTTCTATTGTACTGTCAATAATGAGGGGAAAAATAAAATCCCCACAACTCAACATAGGTCTAACTGTGCGCATGTGGACATTGATTACTGCAGTGTACTTGCTAGTTGGACGAAGCATCTCTCCCACAGGAGGGTCTGGAAATCTGTGCTCTCCAAAAGTCCTGACTGACTCTTCATACTGGAACCTCTACAGAGACCAGGAAAGCCGCTGTGGCAGCTAACAAAGCCACTAGCTGGGCCAGTCCAGCAGGAGCCAGAGAACTGAGCTGGGGGCTTTCCTGTCTCCCTCAGAGCTTCTGCACTGGCCCTGTGAAATCCTGTGCCCATTTGTTTGTCTTCCCAAGAATTTTAAATCCTACACTCTGGACTGAATTCTGAAGTCATAAGGGGCCTAACCTTTACAGGCTGAATATACCTGAGTCACCTTTTCCATCTTCTTCAATTTTCTTCTTTTTTAAGACATAAACCATCACAGTTTAAAACGTACTGCAAGGGTAGCCAAAGGCACGAGCCTGAGGTTCAGAGGCCATGTGAATTTTGACGAACTTCCTGAGTTCTCTGGCCTCAGTTTCCTCACCTGTAAAAAGGAGACAGTAACAATTCCTACCTGTTAGGGTCAACTTGAGGATTAAATGGTAAGTAGACACAATGCCCTTATGACAGTGTTTGATATTACCATTAAGCTTTTCCTTCATTTCATTTTAGTGAAATGCTGGAAATTTGGACAATCTATATTTTAAAAGAGGCTGCTTCCAGAATTGCTCAATTCTCAAGCAAAATTAATGTTCTCAAGCAAGTTTTATGGGATCCTTTAGTCCACAAATCAAACATAGCATACTCATAAATAGTGTCCTGCCCATGCCACAAATCTGTTTCCCACTTAGTCAAATGCATATCCATCTGCTTCGCAAGTCCTGGTTAAAGAGAGAGTAACTTTCTGTTTAGAACATTGTGGAGAAAACAGAAGCAAAAAGTTCAAGGTATATACCTTCTAAATTGGGTTTGAAAATTATGTAAGTCAAGATAATATTTAGAGAGGACAAAATATGGATTCAACATAAACATTTTTAAATTTGGTGAAAAACTAAAGCTGTGCACCTAAGGTTAATGTTTTGCATTTTCTTCTTTGCTGCTTTTCTTTTTTCATCTTTGAGACAATCATGAAAATTTATAGAAACCTTTGACCTGAACAAAACAACTTTAAAACTGTCACATACATGTTTAGGAAGACTGCATATTCTTTATTTTTGGAAAGGAAATACGCAATTTCCTTAGTGAGAAAAAGGAATGTAACATTTTCTTGTCCTTGTCACTGAATGTAAATTCTGTTTCAAGGAAATAGACAGTTAATATATGCAGTTTGATGTCTTGTTATACATCTTTGTGGCATTTTTAAGTGTTTTCTATAAAACCTAGAGAAGCTAGATGATTTTACACTTTTATGAAAGAATTGTCAAAGTGTAAGTTAAGATTGTGTTTCCTACTCCTAAGCCTGTAACTTTGTGTATGGAATTTCTGATAATCCTAGTCATTATCTAACATTTGTAGTATTTGCTATATCGTTTTTAGGAAAATTAAATGCAAAAACCCCAAGTCCTCTTTGCTGAAACAGTAAAAACAAAGTTGAAAATAGAGTAATAATAATTCTATACTTAGAGCATATGAAATGTGTCTTAGATTTCTAGAACTTGTTTTTCTAAGAAAAGAGCTTACAAAATGGCATAATCGTTTTTTTTAAGCACATAAATAAATATCCTTAAACTATCTTGAGACAATGTTTTTTCTCCACATTACAACTTCACTTTTTCCAAAGAAGAACTTTTTATGCTTAGGAAATAGTTGTCAGACAATGGTTAAGGAAGAGCGTGATTTCTAAGCCATCAGAAATACGGCAAATAACAATTAGAAAATCCAAAGAGTTTTCTCTTATTAAAAAGAAAGAAAAGGAAACTATTTTAAGAAAATATTGTGTTTGTTTTCTGCTAGAACGTTTTCCACCCATTCAGATTGACAAAATTGGTCATAGGCTTTGGTCAGTAAACTTAGTGATGACATTTTTTTACACTATTTTCCTTTAAATATTGGTCACCTTGACTGTTAAGCTGAATATTTTTAATTTTTGTAGTGGTGTTCCAGTTCTTCAGATTGTGTCAGGGAAAAGCTTTACATCAGCAGTAACATGGCATTAAACTCCAGTCTGGCTTCTTCTGACATCACCATCTACAAAGGGCTACTAAGCATCCTTCTGTGAAAAACGGGAGGCAGCGTGTTACAGAGGGAAGAATGTGGACCCTGCAGTCAGGGAAAGAGTGCTGCAAGTCCTTGTCCTCATTTGGGCAAGTTACTTAATTTTTTAAAGGCATGGGTATAAATATAAATGCAGATTTTGCAGTATTAACTAGATAATATCTCCAAAGTGCACGTGGTGTAATAGGTGCACAAAAAATGTTATCAAGTGTCTTGTAATAGTAGGTATCGCACTTGCAGAGCTTCAGCAAGTGAGCTCTAGGCATACCCTCCAGCAGGGGCAGAAGCCAATTGACTTCAAGAAAATGAAATGCCAGATTACACATGAAAGTAAAATGCCTGTCTCCTGGCTCTCCCTGCTTAGGCGCCCCAGGGGCGCAGTCCTGGAGTCAGGGTGCCCAAGCTCTTCCTCCTCAGGGGCAGTCTTTCAAAGACCCATTTCCTCTCTGGGCTGAAGGCAGCTTCATTTGTAAAATGAGAGAAGAGAATGTAATAATTTAAGTCTCTAAGAGATGCTGTATATCCACAAAAAGTCACTCATGTCTCATTTCCAATTCAGCCAGCTTCTAGCATCCTCTGTTCCCAATTCTGAAGGCTGTTGTTTCCATAATTTGGATTTGTTTCCAAGAGTCGAAGCAGTGAGGGCAGATTTGATGCTCTCTTACCTAAAAATATGAATACTACCCTCCTCCCTCTTCTTCTTTGCCTAATTGTACACAAAACTTTTGTAGTTCTCATGAATAGATGGTGCTGATTTAAAGGTATAATTAACATTTTTAGTTATGCTCCATGATTTATTCGCCCTCTCTTTCCTTTCTCTCTCTCTCTCTCTCTGTCTCTCTCTCTCACACACACACACATACGTGCACACACATGTGCGTGAAGAGGTGTATATCTGAAATATTTGTCACTAAAACCTTACTTCTCAGATATACTGGAGAAGTGGAAGATTTGAAAAACAATTTTGTGGTAGAACTATTTTTTAAACTGAAAGATTCTTTCACAAAATAAATTATTGTCTACAAATTTTATATGTATATATATATATATACTATATATATAAACACATATGTATTTTGACATATTTATGTCAGAGCTTTAAAAATCTCAACTCTTAATAGGTATTATTAGAACCCTATATTTTTCTAGCCTTTCCACATCTTCAGATTAATTGCCCTGCATAAGTACAAATCATCCAATGACAATTTATTTGAACAGCAGTCAGTGCCCAGTACTGGGCAAATACCACCGAAGAGGAGATTTGGGACAGAAATAGGGTACATTAGAAATCTAATGCGTGCACCTCATAGTTCACATCTTTGCTTCTTTGTTACTATGAAATAATGGTAAAAGATTTTTCCAAGATTAAAAACAAGTTATTCTGTCTAAGCAAGTGAGAATATTTCTGAGGCTCCAGAGTGATAGGGATTGATTCCAAAGCAAAAGAGAAATATAAGAGGATTTTGTTTCATGTATTTTTCGAGTATTTTCTAGAATTCATTATTTTTAAAATTCCAAAATATAAATAAAAAAATGATGTTGGTATCATCTGTGAATCTATCCCAAATAGCTATGTGATTTTTAAGTAACATTAAATTTTAATTAGCTTATAGTTATGGTATTAAGCGTACCTATCATCTCTTACATAATTTCATAGTTCCTCACTGACATTAATCCTCACAGCATGCTTCTAGTGGCATTTTTATTATGAGTATATTTAAAGAGCAGATAAATTGAAGCTGTCAGACTTCCAAAGGTCAAGCTATTAATTTGAGTCTGTCTAGTTAGCTACACAATAGATTCAATAATTTTTATTCTTGATTCACTTACTCTAACAGCTAAGTACACTTTTCTTTTGGCTACCTTGACTCTATCATTCAACAGTCTGGATTCAATCCCTGAAGAATTTGAATATATTTATTCCTATTTGTTTTCTGGTGCATTAGCTTAAAATTTTCCTGTAGCAGAATTTACCCAGCTATTTATTTACCCAATGTATTTATAACATTATGACTTTAGACTTAGGAAAATATATTGAGAGTAAATGGCATGATTGATTTCTGATTCCAGATTAATTAATAGTTCAGGGAAAGTATCTTAGAGCAATTCAATTCTTTTGCTGGTTAAAGCTGAGAACTAAATTATTTTTATTTTCTTATCTTTTAAAGTTATTGATGTGTATGTTAGAACTCTAAGAACACATGACTGTAGTAATAGGATGCATTCCTTCTCTCTAAAGAAATACTATTTTCCTATTACAGGATATTTCATATAGTCAAATCACTACACCCTGCAAAATG